ATTTCCGAATATTACAGGGGTACAATTCTTTAGGTTACATATATTGCATTTGCCCCGCCGAAGTCAGAGCTACAAGCGTGTCCATCCCCCAGACCCCGAAAACAATCACAGCAACAACAAAAATAAGTAAATGGGACTGGATCAAATTAAGAAGCTTCTGCACAGCCAAGGAAACTATCAGGAGAGCAAACAGAAAACCTACAGATGGGAGGAAACACTTGCAGGCCACGCATTTTATATTCTGTAAGTCTTTCCATCCATGTCTAGATGCAGGTCATATGCAAACTGGTCCCTGCTGTGGAAACGTACAGACCTCTCGAGCAGCTCCAGCTGCTCTCTCATGGATTCTGGGCATCTTCAATGTTCAGTGACAGAGAGGATGGTGTGGATATTTCAGTTCTTTTTCTTAAGATCAGAAAGTCAGCATAGTAGGGGAACGGCACCAGTATCAGTGTTTACACTAAATCCACCTTACAAGACCTGCAACTGCTGGTCTCTTTCTCCAGGTGTATATTTTCTCCTCAGACCGTCATGCTCAACTACGTGGGGAAGATGGGAGCCTCCACCCATGGACTCTCCCCCACTGCACACACATTCCAGCGTCTCCAGGCTACGGGAGTGTGGCATTTATGTGTGGGAGCAAATGCCATGGGGTGATGTCATGTCTCTGCCACCCCAGAATCTCGCGATAATGGCGTGATGTGCTATGAAGCTGATGTGGGACAGGTGAGGAAAAGCTCACGTGGACGTGCAGAAGTGATATCTATTTTGAAATAAGATTCGGAATCTGTTTGGAAAAGATAGATGATGGCAGCTCCTTATAATTTGGGAATGAGGTGGCGATAGACAGAAGTAGGGGCCATTGTAGTTTTGTCTCTGATAGCCTGGTGCAAGGTCATTGCACTGAGCGTGTGGGGATTTCAACATTGCAACGGCAGAGGTCATATCCTAATGAGTTTAATTATCATCGAGTCAATTATGCATTTAACTTGCATCTGTGTACATATTGTCAAGACCTGGGAGTTCCAAAGAATACTCCAGTGGAATTACTGGAATCTAAATATATTCCTCCCTTACTCACTGTGTAAACATAGCCACACCTAATCCTAAAGTCACTGCCCTTGCAAAGACGGTGACTGTTTCCTGCCCTGCTAACCTATTGCATGAGAAGCTTAAATGAGTGGGGCAGCACCATGTGTTCCTGAGATGGGCCACTGGGAGTGATGCCAGGTAAAGTGAGGGGCTGGTGCTATGCCCACTCCTGCTCCTGTTCCTTCCAATGAAAGGTCCACAGATTCAGGTAACATCTGCATCCTGCTAGATTGCATCCCTTCCCCACAGTACAGGGAACTGTGCACATTCATGCAGGGAGCCCCATTGCACTGGATGTCATGGCCATATACCTGCTATAGCAAATTACTGACACAGGTGAACCTCTCAGTAAGGCCAGCACCTGCCAGTGAACCCCATGCTGAGTGTCTTTTACTGTGAGGTGGAGCCCTTGGCCCCAGGAAATATCAGGCTGACACCATTAATTGAATTGCATGCACGGTAATCACACGGCTAGTGGTCCTGTGTGAGGCCTTGGGTTTGGAAAGACACACACCCGGGCTGGATCCAGTCAAGGTGAGTTGCTGTACCTCCCAGAGTCAAAAGTCTCAGTGAATTTGATATCACATGATCTTTGCCTCAGTTAAGGAGCCCTGTTGAGGTCACCGCTGGTATATTTTGCTCACAGACTTTGATTAGGCAGAGGGAGGGCCTCAGCGTGCCTTGGTGGGTGAAAGTACATGAAGTTGGGAGATGCGAGTCATCAAGCCGTGCCACTGTGGTCACTTAATTCATGGACCATCTGGGCAGCGCTGGAGTCACTGGCTGCAGAGGATGACTACTGTCCACTGGCTAATTCCGTGCACGTGACTGTCAGTGGAATTCCACAGGGAGAGCACTCTAAAGACACTGAGATGCGATGCACGGGTCTTCTCTCCAAGGCCAGATGACACACTCATAAATAATCCACATGCTGGTGACAGGTGCTGCCTGCAGGGAGAAAAAATCATGACGGTGATTTTTATTACGTGCTAACACGCTCCCAAATGTCACGTCACCACTTAATATTAAACAAGAAATGTTCCACAGGTTGCCAAGTCTGAACAGGGGCGTAATCATGGACACTCTCAGTGGTGCACACAGGCAGGGCCCACCTCCCACGCAGGCTTCCATCCAGTCACTGCACCAGGTCCTCTCACAGGGGAACGGTCCTCTGTGAGATTCTCTGTCGTACTGGCTGTGGGAGGTAAATTATGGTGTGATTTAAGTCTGTTATCTGCCATGAATTATTTTTTGTGAGTGGTGAGCAGAAGATGTATAGAAGGAAATATTGGAAAAGCTCTTCTACATGTAAGCTTGTACCAGGAGGAGGCCACTCTCCCACCAAAACAGGTCCCAAGGCAGGATCATCGCAATAGATTTGGAAATAATAGTAATAGAGAAATAATATAGATGGAGAAATAATTGAGACAGAGACAAACTGCAGGTTAAAGTGATAAGGGAGTCAGGGGTCCTCCAGCATTCCCGTGGGCTGAGGGGGCCTGAGTGAAATCCCCGTCAGTACTTATTGTTAAAGCAAATGTTGTCTTTTGTTAAAGAATGATGTGTACAGCCCATTATTTGAGGTTTCCAGGGGATCCTTACCTAATTCTGTCTAAAAGAATTGACGGTTACAAATTTTTCTGAGATAAGCATTGTAAGGCCCAAGTTACAGGCAGACGTAGCTGAGCATATAAATTACAGACAAAATGTATAAAACGAGAACGCTGAGTCTGTGTACTACTCTAATCTACTTCTTATAAACACAGAGACATGTAGTCAGGAGTGAAGCAGGAATAGCCTCAAAGTCTAGGATAGTTCCAGCTGCACATTATCTGCTGGGCAGGCATGTTAATCAGCTTCTTGACCACAGACCCAAACTGAGCTTCTGCCTTACAAAAAAGCTAAGGGCGATGGCTGGCAGCAAAGAGGAATTTTGCTGTGCAAACATCCTCTGACAATGCCTGACTTTGATCAAAGCAGCTTCCATTCTGTGAGCTAACACGTCCACAGATTATTTCAAGGCAAAAACCTGCAAAACTCCTGAAAGCTTTTGCATCTTGGCCTATTTTTCCAATAGGCTTATGACAAGAGTTTCTTGAGACCACAGTGATAATCACACCAATGTCAAAAATTGACATATGGGTCTTGATTAATCTACACCAAGGTCCCTTGCAGGGATTCCTTGGTCACAAAGAATGCAGCATGTGCTGGCACTACAGAGTTCTGTGGCATCTGGGTCTACAATCAGGGGTAGAGGTGAGATTAATTCCTATCAACACACCGTGGTGACAACTTCTGAAATCTTTCTTCTTACTGCCACAATGTTAGGCACTGATTGGTTAGATGTCCTGGTTCCCAGGGAGGATCATGCCTACTGGGAGCAGAGTGTGCTCGCCTGAATCTGAGACCTGGTCTGATGTCCCTCAGTTGGGATCCTCATGACTGTGCACCAGTCAGGAACGAAAGGCACTTTCCCACTGAAACGCATTAACTCTGCTTTGAGGCTGAGCTTGGGTGTATCCATGGAGGCAGGGACAGTCCCTCATGCCTAGGCAGTGTCTGTGGGTTTCTCCACTGCATTCGCCACTGGGGAGGACAATTGCAAAACCACATGCCTGAGGTTGGCTATGTGACCAAGGACAATTTCTCTGCAGTGCTCAGGCCTGAGTCACTCCATCAGGGAACACACAGCAACCCTCACTGCAAAGTGCTGGGCGTGAGTGAGAAGAATCCACAGTGGAGGTGGGAGGGGACACTAGTGAATGACGAGTGTGACCACAGGGCCGCCTCCAGCAGTGGACATTGGAGCCTGACCACTCACACTCACATTGTGACTTCCACAGAGATTAAGGCTGGCTACTGTGCCAAGCATGTGGCAGCCCCATAGACTGAACCTTGTCCTGTGTGGTCCTGCCTGGCAAGAGGGCAATGTAAGGACGAACTTCAGTGGATTCCTGCTTGGCCCCACTCTTGCGCCCTGGGCCCACACAGAGGAAGCAGCAGTTGTGTTAGACAATTTTTGCAAAGCTGAATCCCCTCAAGTGAGTGAGGTGCACATCACAGGTGATGTACAACATTGTGGGGAGGTAGTGAGGACTTGAGGCCCAAAGGTTGATGCAACCCTGAAGCTGTAACACTAGAATGCAGCAAAATCCCATCATGTTCTCATTAGTGAAAGGGGATACTGCAGACCCCAGAAGGCATGTCCACATCGGTCCTGAAGTTGGTTCAGAGAAGCAGTGGGGTGCAGTGGTGAGAAGCACAGGCACAGATGCTGAAGATACCTCTCAGCAGATATGGGCATCCTTTTCTGTGCATTGCAAAACTCCTCGATGCTTCTATTTGTATGGTTTGATCTGTAAAATATTATGACATATGAAGTTCCCCAGGACTCTCAACTCTTCTCTTGGCCCTTCCCTCCTTCAGGTGTCCCCACTCAGAGGTTGCTATATAGCAGGGGACATGCAAATAGGGCCCTCCCTCCGCTCATGAAAACCAGCCCAGCCCTCACCCTGCAGCTCTGGGAGAGGAGCTCCAGCCCCGGCATTCCCAGGTGTCCCCATTTGGTGTTCAGGACTCAACACAGAGACTCACCATGGAGTCTGGGCTCAGCTGGGTTTTCCTTGTTGCTCTGTTACAAGGTAATTCATGGAGAACTAGAGATATTGGGTGTGTGAGTGGATGTGAGTGAGAGAAACGGGTGTGTGTGGCAGTTTCTGACCAGGATGTGTCTGTGTTTGCAGGTGTCCAATGTGAGGTGCAGCTGGTGGAGTCTGGGGGAGGTTTGATCCAGCCTGGGGGGTCCCTGACACTCTCCTGTGCAGCGTCTGGATTCACCATTAGCAGCTACTACATGGACTGGGTCCGCCAGGCTTCAGGGAAGGGGCTGGAGTGGGTCTCAGCCATTAGTAGTGGTGGTAGCACATACTACGCAGATGCCGTGAAGGGCCGGTTCACCATCTCCAGAGACAACAGCAAGAACACGCTGTCTCTGCAAATGAACAGTCTGCGAGCCGAGGACACGGCCGTGTACTACTGTGCGAGAGACACAGTGAGGGGACATCAGTGTCAGCCCAGACACAAACCTCCTATGGGGGTGCACAGGGCCGCCAGGCGGCGCTCAGGACCCACTGTACCCAGAGTCAGTCCAGGGCAATTGCAGGTGGAGGGTAAGGGCTGGTTTCCTGTTGGAGTCGTGGCTTCCCCTCCATAAAACGATTTCCTCTGGGGAACTTCTCTGAATTCACGATTCTGTGCTTCCCTCTGCAGTCTCTGAGTTAGATACATTCGTGGTAATGAGAGAAAATATTCTCACCTGCACAAAAGGCAGAGCGTGGCTTCCAGTCACTTTCTCCTGTCACCAAATGTACATTAATTTTCTAAACTTCTGAATAAGTCCTAAAATCAATAAAAGATTTTGTCTTGGACAACACAATGCAGCACAGCACACGGAAGTGAACGTTCCTTGTATCCAGCAAGCAGGATAAAGTGCCTGCTGGACATTAGGGACAGAGGGAGTCAGCATTTGAAGCAAAAGAAGGAAGACCCAGTGGTGGTCAGTGTCCCAGTACCAGGCTCACAACATTTATTTTATCTGACACAGTTGAAGGACAGAGGGACCCCGCCAACATTTAGTGTAGATGTTGACTCTGATGATGTTACACACATGCACACATGCACACACACATGCACTCACACTAAGTGAACATGCAAAGAGTTACTCCCTCCACTACTGAGGTGTCTGCAGAGCAGGGCAGGCCTCTCAAGAGAGTCCCAAGTGGATTCATAGAGCAGGAAGGGAGACTGGCTCAGGTTTTCACAACAATTCCCTGGTGGGCAGGGAGGGGCTCTCAATCCCAGGACGGGTCTGGTGGGGTCTGGACCTCTGACAGTCATCTCGAGAGAAAGCACCTGTGATTCCTTCCTAGAATTCTCATGAGTGGGACAAACAGGGAAGATGAAGGATGGGCCTTAAGATTTCAGTGGGCAGACATCGGTTAATCACTCTTACTTCTTATTCCACTCAACAACTAGGTTTCAAAAGGAGCCAAAAGCTCTATCCAGGAAAATAGAAGAGGTGCTATATCATGAGAATGGAAGAATCGGCACCACATGTACTTGCCGTCAAACTGGCACTGACCGAACAACACTAAGGTGCTCACACAGTAGTAGTATTCACTGAGGGTTGGGGGGCTGGGGGTGAGTAAACTCACAACTAATGGACTCAGTTAGTGTTGTAAGGGCGGAAAGGGCACGTCTCAAATCATGCTTGGGATGTGGCAAATTCTTAACATGTAACCAAAATGTTTGCACCCCCATAATTTCCTGAAATAAAAAAAAAAGAGCAAAAAGAAAAAAAAGACTAAAAAACACTGTTAGTAGTCAACAACCAGGTTTGCAGAAAAGTAGAAGATATTTTTTTAGTATGAGATGATGTTAGTCATAATTAGGATGAGTAGGAGGAGGAGTTAGACAGGGGTCTTGGTCCAATGTCATGGGTGGAAACTTTTCACTCTCCAAGGTCATCAGCTTATCCTGAAGGTCGTGGGTCAGCTGTGGGCTGCAAAACACCAAAGCTTCACGGGTTCTATGAAAATGCTCATTTTGGCATCCTCTCCTGCAGTAGCCAGCAATGCCCAGAGCTCTGCATGGATGCTGTGGTTGTGAAACATGAACCCAAGAATTGCCTGTCTGGAATTCCACTACTGGATTTCCTTAAAAGTCCTTCCTGATACTAGTTCCAATGTGGCCCAAGTGCAGTGCTCTGATGTTTCCTCCAATACACACTATGTCCCAGTTGAACTTCATTAGAGATGTTTAAAAAGATGTAGTAAAAGGCAGCCCAAATCTGTGGGTGATAGGAGTGCGTATAACACATGAATTACTTCAATATTTTTTTTACTCTGCCATGCAGTGGGGGGAATGCTAGTATTCATGGTAAAATCAAGTGTTTGATCTCCAGCTACGAAGCCATCGGGTAGTAACTGACATGTCCTTGAGGGAGGGGACCGTAATGCCACAGTGCTAATGGTGGAACCATTGGCCAAGGGAGTTCACTGATCTCTTAAAATTGTGACATTTGGAACTTAATAATGTCGATTTGATCAACATTTTCAGAAGAGTTTTAATGAATGGATGGGGTGTTATATGAGTAGTGGCAATGCCTTACAATCTTAGATGCATTTAGAATCGAGCTCAAGCTGCTTTTTCTGAGTAATGATATTCAACAACATTTCTTTAGCTCTCATGCTACTATTTTTTGATTTTTTTTGTTTTTGATAATAACATTTTATTTATCCAACATAGTTTCTTCTACCAAGTGTTTTCTCTATAGGATATATTTCCCAACATTTTACTTTTCACAAGCAAATGACATCAGGATATAGTTGTGAACACTGACATAATAATAAAGATGAACGTAAAATTATATGCTCATTATAAAACATGATTTCAAACTGTAAAGAATAAACACTCATTTTTTTTCTCAGCTAGATCTATAACCAAGTATTCTAGAACTTGTGTGTCAAAATCCAACTCTATTTTGTTAGCTATCACTTAAGATCAGTTTATCTCATTCATTCATGCCATGAATATTTAGGAGCACCCTCTTTGTCCCCACTGTGTACCAAACCCTGTGTTAGTGCTAAAATTATAACAATATATACACTGATTCCCTGCAATCAACAATATATTGACAACAACTCAATTCCATGATCAAACATAGCACCATTAATAGTAGAACAAACTCCATTATGTCCCTCAGCATATCATTTTTGGTATTTTTACCAAAAGTGAATACTCCAACTCTAACCAGGCCTTTTAGATCAAATATCACTTTACAAGAAATATGGTACGTAGAAGAACATACACTGATAGTTCTACAAGGATTTAATGA